GAGAAGCATAAAAGCATACCCACTGAATTCATAGTTGTTGGACCAGATTGGCCAGATCATTTTCCTGATTTAATCTTGGGAGGTCCTTGGTTCCAAGAAAGTGGTGCAACTTTAGATATACGCAATTCAAAACTATTATTAGACGATAATTTTGCGATCCCATTCAAAGAAGTAAAATGAGAATAACAATCCAGAGTAGGCCAAAGATGCTTTGTAGAATCACATTTTTTTCGATTAAAGATACAGTATATATTATTTATAGCGCATTTAGGTGTTATAAATTTACCGGAACTATTAGAGCGAATTCTACATTTCTTATTGATAGATAAATCCATCTACCCCGCTCTATATGTTTCCCAATTGTGATACAGATGCGGTGCTCCTGTTCTGTGAAAATACATCGAGCTAAAGTGGAAGAATAAATGCCACTCTCAATTGAAAAAATTTATGAAAATAGTATGTAAAAGGCAAAAGCCGGTTTATAGCTCAAATCTAACTCATCTAGAAATTTCGAACTACTATCCACTTTCAGATAAAAAATTCAATGGCTTTTCGCGTATATTCCCAAATATAGTCCATTTAGATTTAAATTTTAGCACAGGGTTTGGCGATAAAAAACTAAATCGAATAGCAAAGACATATCCCAATCTGAAGTATCTTAATTTGCAAAAGAGTGGGTTCGTAACCTTTAATGGTGGGAGAGTGACTGATAAAGGTCTATGTGCAATTGCACAATCATGTCTCAAACTAGAATATCTAAATATTTCTTATCGCACAGAGATTACTTGAATATCGATTTGTGATATTATCCATTCTTGTCCAAGGCTTCAACATCTTGACTTTAGTTATTGCGGAGTTACTAATGAGATTATTAAAGAAATTGGTAGTTCATGTCTTAATCAAATTGGAAGGGTGTGATATTGTTAGCAAAGAAGCCGTAGATCAGCTCATTTTACTTAATCCAAATATTCATGTTAAGAATTTCGTGTATACCATAATACCAGCCTATTTTGATACATATCCCGGGATGTATGAATTGTCAAGAAAACTGAGAATGTCAATTGATGCATCAAGAGATATTATGTTCATACATAATTATATTAAACAAGCGTTAGGGTCGCAAATGATCTGATCTGAAGGGATTTTCGATTAAATATATTCAGTTATAAAATACAATACTTAAAATGGCTTATATAGAATGTAAAGTTTGGCATTTTCAGGAAGATGATGATATAGATCTAAAAAGTCGCTACGAAGCAATGAAAGCAGAATGTACTGTAGATTCTATACAGTCAAGGTATTGATAGACACATCATCTAGAGAAAATTTTATTAGAAGAAGCTTGGTCGATAAGCTTGAGATGGAGTACACTGAATATAAAGAAAAAAACAGGTTGGAATGTCTGGATTTATCTTTCCGATACAAGGGAAAGATAGACTAGTATCTACTAATGGTGACGATGTTTTTAATGATTTCGTGGTTATTGAAAAGCTAAAAGTGGACCTTATATTAGGATTACCATAGTTATGGCTTCGCGAAGCAAAAATAGATATGGAAAAACAAGGATTAACAATATATGGTGATTTTGTGCCATTCTGCG